GCCGTTCTGTCCCGGTGGCCCGTTTTAGGACGTGCGCTCCTGGGAACCCTCTCCACGCGCCACGGCCATGGACGCGCAGCGGTTCCCATGCGTGAAGGCCCGTGCGAGCCGTCCCACCAGCCGTCCCCGGGGCGGGGTGCCCGGCTCAGAACACGCTCTCCTGCCTCCTGAGCGAGGGCCTCCCTGCCTCCTCCAGCCCCTCGTGGCCGCTGGACATGGAGCGCGCCGACAGCGTCCGGGCGGAGAACACGCTGTCCGAGCGCGCGTGGCGGCAGCCGGCGGGGAGGCGCCCGTAGCCCAAGTAGCGCCGCAGGCGCAGCTGGAACTCGCGGGACGCGAAGTAGTACACGAAGGGGTCCAGGCAGTTGTTGAGACAGCTGAGGCACAGGGTCAGCTTGTACACGTGGTAGTAGGTCCTGCCCAGGAACAGGCGGTTGACCACGTGCACCAGCAGCACGAAGTTGTTGGGCGCGAAGCAGGTGACGAAGGCCAGCAGCACCACGGCGGCCAGCGCCACCGCGCGGCGCCGCTGCCCCCGGCTGTGCGGCTCGCGGGCGCGCAGCAGCGTGAGGATGGTGGCCGTGTAGCAGGCCACGGTGACCAGGAAGGGGATGAGGAACAGCACGATGAACAGCGTGAAGAGGAACATGGCCCACATGGCCACGCTGGGCAGCATGGTGGACTTGAGCACGTCGAAGCAGGTGACGATGCCCAGCGCCTCGACGGTGTAGGTGAGGTCGGTGCGCGCCAGCGGGGACAGGGCGGCCAGCAGCAGCAGCCACAGCCCGGCGCACGCGGCCACGGCGTAGCGGCGCCGGCGCCAGCGCGCGGACGCCAGCGGGTACACCACGCCCAGGAAGCGCTCCACGCTGATGCACGTCATGGTCAGGATGGACGAGTACATGTTGGCGTAGAAGGCCACGGTGACGGCGTTGCACAGCAGCTCGCCGAACACCCAGTGGTTGCCGTTGCAGTGATAGTAAATCTGGAAGGGCAGCACGCTGGCCAGCATCAGGTCCGTGACGCTCAGGTTGATCATGAAGATGACGGACGGGGACGTGGGCCCGATGTGGCAGCACAGCACCCAGAGCGAGAACAGGTTTCCGGGGATGCTGACCAGCGCCACCAGCGAGTAGACCACGGGCAGGACCACGGCGATGGTCGGGTCCCGCAGCATGAGGATCGTGGCGTTGTCCGGGCCGCTCACGTTCATGTCCATTCTGGCGGGCGCGGGTGGGGCTGGAAGGCAAGACGCAGGGGGGGGGGGGGGG